AACGACGCCACGGCGAAGACGCCGACTGCGCCGACGGCGGCGCCGTGCGAGGAGGGGGAGGTGCAGTTCCACCCGCGTCAGAAGGATGGGCAACCCTCGCAAGGGTACTCTTGCATCCTCGCCTCCTCGGCCCATCCTTGGCCACTTTCGTCGGCCGCGCCCCGCTCGAGAAGCTTCGACATGAGCGTCCAAGGCCCTGGCATCCTCATCGCGCATCCTTATGATATACGGGCTGAATGTATCAACAAGCGCCGCCTGGGAAATCGATTTTCGGGGACCTCGGCAGGCGGCGGATGAGGACAGCTTCGGGCCCTGGCGCCCAGACCCCCGAAGCCATGATTTGCTAATTGCGTCGGCCTCAAGGGTCTCGACCGAATCCCTGGGGCTTTCATCCTGAGTTGTGTTTGCACAGTCCCTGGGCCTGGTAAGGGCCCCTAGAGGTTGAAAGCAGAGAAACCTCCCGTCGTGATTTCGTCATGTCTCGAGAGGGCCTGGGGCGGGGCGCGAGCATGTCCAGATCCACCGCCTGCCGAGGTCCCCGAAAATCGGTCCCCCGGGCGGTGGCTGTGGATCGACTCCCCGCCTCGCGCGGCGACGTCGTCGGACAAAAAAGTCGACGGCGACGGCGTCGGCGCGGGTTGTCCGCCAACCTCGCGGGGCCTCGAGGGTCCAAGAGCGGGCCCTTCGAGGGTTGACGTTTCAGGATCGAGGTTGGAGGGCAGCAAAGTCTACCTTTCAGTCGGGCCTGTCCCTCTAAAGGAGGAATGTTCAAGAATAGTCTAAAAATAGTCGTGGGAAGATTTTCATGTTTTTTTGATCATGGTGGAGTACGTTTTGAGTATTTGTTGCATTTCGTCCAAAATCCGCCTGCAGGGGGACATGAAGTCTACCTGCTGCTTGAAGACTAGTCTTTGGGGCCTATGCCAAATACCGCTGTCACTTTCCAGCCCCCCGGCGTCTACAGATACAGTGGGTGCCGTTTCAAATGCAGACGCATTCGGGGTGCATGTGTCTATAAACAACGCGGCCGTTGCGTTCGGCGCAGTACGAGGGCAGAGAACGGGTAGATCCGTCTACGGCGCTTCCTGTTCTAGAGCAGTTCGCACATGGTTCCAAATCAAGGATCGGGCGTCGAGGTTTTTGGTCGTCGTGGTCGCTTGGGCCTCCGCCAAACTCCAGGAGTGCGGGCCCATCTCCGCTCGATCGCTTCGATCCGCTCTCGATTTCAGACGGCCTGATCTGGCTCGACTTTGACTCTCCGTCGATGCGGATCTTCCCGCTCCTTGCGCGATCGATCCGATTTGATTCGACTCGATTCTGGCTCCATGCCGATGTGGACCGACCCGGCGCACATTCCGATCCGATCCTACCTGTCGATGAGATGCTGACCATTCTTGCCTCCAGGAGGCATCCGCCAGCCCCGCTGGGGAGCCCGAGCCCGTCCGGCCGCCGAGCGGGCAGCCGAATGGGCAGCCGAACGGGCTTGGTACCGACTCCGTGGTGGTGCGTTGAGCCCGTTGGGGCGCCGAATGGGCTCGATCGTGGGACCGTTCGGCGGCCGAGCGGGCTCAGGCGCTGGATGGACTCGGAAGCCTCGTCGTCGGCGTCGTCGTCGTCCGCGCCGTCGTCGGGCGCCGCCGCCGCCGCCGCCGCCCGGCGTCGTCGTCGTCGTCGTCGTCGTCCCCGTTGGCAGCGCCAGGTGTCTGCCAACCTCGCCTGGGCGTTTGCCGCGGCGGCACACCGCGATGCCGGCCGCCTGGCGCAGGCATAGGGCGCCGTCGTCGTCGTCGTCGTCGTCGTCGTCGTCGTCGTCGTCGTCGTCGTCGTCGTCGTCGTCGTCGTCGTTGCTGTCATCGTCGTCGTCGTCTTCGTCGGCGTTGCCGCTGGCGTCGGCGTCGGCGTCGGGTGCGCGTGGTCGTCGTCGTCGTCGTCGTCGTCGTCGTCGTCGTCGTCGTCGTCGTCGTCGTCGTCGTCGTTGTCGTCGTTGTCGTTGTCGTCGTCGTCGTCGTCGTCGTCGTTACTGTCATCGTCGTCGTCGTCTTCGTCGGCGTTGCCGCTGGCGTCGGCGTCGGCGTTGGGTGTGCGTGGTCGTCGTCGTTTGCGTGGTCTTCGTCGTCGTCGTCGTCGTCGTTGCTGTCATCGTCGTCGTCGTGTTCGTCGGCGTTGCCGCTGGCGTCGGCGTCGGCGTCGGGTTTGCGTGGTCGTCGTCGTTTGCGTGGTCTTCGTCGTCGTCGTCGGTGTCGTCGTCGTTGTTGAATTCGAGGACGTTTTATGCGCCTTTCTGGCCATCCTTGCTCCTCCTCCCCCTCCTTTCTCCTCCCTCTTCCTCCCTCCCCCTGCGCCTCCTCCTCCCCCCTCCCGCTCGTCCTCCTCCTCCTCCTCCTCCTCCTCGCCTCTCCTCGTCGCTTCTCCTCCTCCTCGCTTCTCCTCCTCCCTCCTCCTCGAGGGTTCTTCACTAAAGCCCTGCCCCTCCTCGAATGTCCTTCTGCTTCTCCCCCCTCCCCCCGCCTCGCGCGGCCCAGTGGGCCCCGTGGGGGGCCCAGGCGGAGTTCGGTTTCAACTTCTGACTCCTGCCGACGTGAGCGACGCAGAAAAACGGGTTCCTCCGCACGGGCATTGGCGCGTAAGCTGCCCCAGGAAGGTCGCGCGTGATCGCCGTCGGTTTCAATGTGGCGTGCCGCACCGGCGGCCCGCATAAGCCACTTCTGAAGGTCGCTGCGTCATCTCGCGTAAGACCTATCCGTTTTCGTCGCTCAGGTGGAGCTTCCACTACCCAGGGGTACCGCCAGGGGTCGGAGTGTGAAGCGTCGTGGGCGAAATACATATCCGTATCCGCGGCCTCGCGGGCCGGGCCGCTGGGCCGCGACCCCGCGGATACGGGACGTTTCTTCGCGGATGCCCCGCGCGGAACGTACCCGTGCGACCGCGTATCCGTGGGATCGCGCCCCGGAATCCAGACAGACCGCGAGGGCGCGGATACGGACATGCTCGCCGCTCGTGAACGCTGCCCTCTCCAGAGGGACCAGCGACTGCCGTGTGTGGGGGGCTTGCGACGGCCTGTCCAGACAGCATGGGCGTCCGCCTCCAGCCTGCGCCCGGCTGGCCGCCCCGCGCGCGGCCTCCCTCGGCCCTGCCGCCGTCCTCGGCCATCGTTCTCGTCGTTCTCGTCGTCGTCGTCGCCGTCGTCGTCGTCGTCGTCGTCGTTGTCGTCGTCGTCGTCTTCGTCTTCGCAACGCCGCGGCGCGGCCCGCGCGGCGGTCTGGCTCGCGCCGGCCTCGCCGAAAGTGTACGGCTGGCGCCCTGCGCTCTGGCTGCGCAGACGGCGCAGAGGTTGGTCTCTCTCTCAGCTGGCGGAGCGGGCAGGCACTGAGAGTCAGTCGGGCCTGTCCCTCTACAGGAGGAGTATTCAAAAAGAGTCAAAAATACTCTAGCGATTATTTTCGACTATTTTTGACCGTTCTTAATTTTTTGGGCTATTTTGTTTTCGCCCAAAATCCCCCTGTAGGAGGACGTGCCCGACCTAACACTGATATCCTGTTTTCACACCGGGCGTTTTCGCCCAGTTTCGGGTCCCTGGACCCTCAGACCGATCCGGCTCGGAGATTGGCGAATGAAGATGGGGACTAGGGCTCCAGTCGTGATTTCTTCAGATTTATACGGGTCTCCCCAAGGGGTGTGCGGCTCGGTCGGCCTCGGCTGCGCCGCAGCCCGTTGCGTTCGGTCGGTGCGGTCTGGTCGGCTGCCGCGCCGCTGCCGCGTCGCCTGCGCCCCTCCGCTGGCGCGCCGCTGCCGCGTCGCCTGCCGCTGCCGCGTTGCCGCGTCGCTGCTGGTCGGCTGCCGTGTCGCGTGCCGCTGCCGCGTCGCCAGGCGGCGCGGGTGCTGTGCCGCTGCGGCGCCGCTTGGGCTGCCCGCGGCCGGCTCGGAGACTCGCCGCCGCTTCGGTCCGCTCTCGGTCGTGCTGTCGCCGTGGACGGCCCGGGCCTCTTTGGCTCAAGCTGTCCCCCCCCCCCGCCGTGGATAGCCGCCTCCGCCGGCGCCGTCGTCACCCCGGACCTCCGTGTGCGCCGCAGGAGAATCACCACGGCGCGTTTCTGTCGCTTCGTTTCCGCCCACGAGGGCCGGCTCCCCTTGGCCCTTTGGGGGGGGCAGTAGTACAGATGGGCCCGCGCGGCGGAGAGTCAGAGCTTCGAGGTCCACGTCGTGAGAGCATTCGTTAGATAGTAAATCACAGAATCACAGAAGCTTCCGCTCGTCTTGGATTTAACGTATATCTGCGAATAGCGCCCAACTAGCGCTCAATATCGTCCAACAGCGCCCGGCAGCGACCAGTAGCGTCGAGTAGCGCTCCAAGAGCGCCTAACAGCAACCAGTAATTAGCGCCCGATAGCGTCATGCGAGGGAGATGCATTCTGTCCGCTTTGCGCGCTATCGGGTTTCATGGCGCCCACCCAACACTTTTGTAAATTGCTCTCCAAGCTTCGCGGCAGGCGCATACAGGAAGAAGCTAGCCTGCCAGCAGTTGCCTCATAAAGAGTCTTTGTTCGTCAAAGACCCCAGGGATCCGCAGAGGTCTTGGGGCTGCCTGGTGGAGTTACAAGACGGACGGCGGATGTGCACCTATCGATGATCCTCAGGGTGTGTGTGTGTGTGTGTGTGTGTGTGTGTGTGTGTGTGCGTGTCTGTGTTAGCCCACTGTGTGTTTACCCCGTTGCGCTCCTCCGGTGGCACGCAGCCTGCGTCGGCCTTCGTAGTTCCGCCTGCGTCGTATTCACGGGCTTCGGTGAACAGAGGACAAGCACACGTTGGAGCCAGCACGTTCTGAGGATCATCGCACGCGTCCGCTGCAGGCCGCCCGCACGGGCGCGGGGGAGCCCCTGCGCGTCGCGCCTCGTGGCCTGGGCCCTGGCAGCGACGCTCGGGCCGTGGAGAAAGACAAATCCTCCCCCTCGGACCCCGGAGCACCTCGGCGTCGCAGGTCTGGGGGGTAGAGCGCAGCAGCCATGTGCGGGATCCTGGCGCTGCTCCTCGCCGACTGCGAGACGCCGTGCGTGCAGGAGCTCATCGACGGGCTCGTGGCGCTGCAGCACCGCGGGCAGGACGCCGCGGGCATCGTGACGGCCTCGACGGCCGACTCCTGGGAGTCCACGCGCTTCAGCACCCACAAGGACTCAATCGGCCGACAGGGTGGGTGGGTCCAGGTTTTTTCGGACCCCCAACTGTACACTGCATCTCTCCGCTCCGCCTCCGGTCCCATCGTCGGTCGACGAGCCTCGTTCGATGATGCACCACCGTAGGCAATTTGGCCCACGAGCCCCTTAGGGGGCGAAGCGTGTAGCAGTTTTTTGTTTCGCTTGAGACTCGGTTCAAAAAAAGGACTCGAGAAAGAAAACATGTATGCACGTTTCGGAGCTCCGCGCGTTTTTTGTTCGGATCGGTGGGGGGGGCCCCCTGGCGCACGCCGTGCGCAAGGCCGGGGGTCACAGCGCTGATAAAAGTTCCTGCTTATGCATTGTTGTTCAGCCTCTTGCCATGCGTTTGGCGCCTGCACGACAGCGGTCCACGAACTCGCGCGATCAGTCGAAGAGCTTCGCGATTTACTTTCACATCCAGTCTGCACCAGGTTTTCGTGGATTGCCCAGCGCTCCTGGCGGGGGGGGGCACGGTCTTGCTCTTCGCACTGCCAGGATGGGAACACATAGGTTCCATAAACAAGAAAAAGTTCATGTTTATGCAGCTGTCCGTTCCTCCGAGGACGTGGGGCAGGTGCGGGACGTCTTCCAGCAGCGCCACGTCAGCGAGCTGCTCGGGAACGTAGGCCCTCGGCGGCGGCGCTCGGAAGCCCGGGGCAGCGCTCGGGGGGGGATAGGCTCGGGAGGGAACGCATCGACCTCAGTCGCTTATTGATCGCCGAGGGGCGGACCGGGAGCCCATCCCTCGAAAAAAAAACGCCATAAACATAAACTTTTGGCGCTCCGCGCAGATTTCTTCAATGGGCGTCTGGGCCCCCCTGGCGGCGCCTCCAGCGCCGCCCCTGGCGCGCTCCGCGCGCCAGGGAGGGAGGTCGGTCCAGCGCAGATCCAAGAAATCTGCGCGGAGCGCCAACAGTTTATGTTTGTGGCGTTTTGTGTTCTTCTTATTCTTATTCGTCTTCCCATCCCGCCCAGGGAAGTACGGTTTCGCCATCGGCGGTCTATCGCCCATATATCGGCGATGTATCGCCGATTCCAGCTAGATGCCTCCCCTCCTGAGCCGGTCCCCCCTAACGTTCCCCTTCATGAGGGGGTGGGGCGAGGTGGGGTGGCCGTCTACAGTAGGTTGGTGTCGTGCCGACGCGGAGGTGACCCCCTCGCGAACGTGCAAGGTTGAACGCTGCCAGTGGCCCAGAACCGGCCACTGTGGAACGATTTGGCGATTGAACAACCGCCGATTTTTCATTGAACGATCCACGCGGTGTCAGAAACCAGCGCCAAGGTTGTCACGAAACGAACCTGCCGTACCTTTCTGAGGAGTTCCCCGCCTTCTCAGAAGGCCGCCCGCTCGCTCTCGCCCCCCCGCCTCTCGGCGTCGGCGTCGGCGTCGGCGTCGGCGTCTTCGTCGTTGCCGTCGTCGTCGTCGTCGTCGTCGTCGTTGCGTCGTCGTCGCCACCGTCGTCGTCGTCGTCGTCGTCGTCGTCGTCGTCGTCGTCGTCGTCGTCATCGTCGTCGTCCTCGTCGTCGTCCTCGTCATCGTCCTCGTCGTCGTGGTCGTCGTTGGCGTCGTCGTCGTCGTCGGCGGCATTGTCGTCGTCGTCGTCACCGTCGTTGGCGTCGGCGTCGTCGTCGTCATTGCTGTCGTCGTCGTCGTCGTCGTCGTCGTCGTCGGCGCTGCCGTCGTCTTCGTCGTCGTCGTCGCCACCGTCGTTGGCGTCGGCGTCGTCGTCGTCGTCGTCGTCGTCGTCGTCGTCGTCGTCGTCATCGTCGTCGTCCTCGTCGTCGTCCTCGTCATCGTCCTCGTCGTCGTGGTCGTCGTTGGCGTCGTCGTCGTCGTCGGCGGCATTGTCGTCGTCGTCGTCACCGTCGTTGGCGTCGGCGTCGTCGTCGTCATTGCTGTCGTCGTCGTCGTCGTCGTCGTCGTCGTCGGCGCTGCCGTCGTCTTCGTCGTCGTCGTCGCCACCGTCGTTGGCGTCGGCGTCGTCGTCGTCGTCGTCGTCGTCGTCGTCGTCGTCGTCGTCATCGTCGTCGTCCTCGTCGTCGTCCTCGTCATCGTCCTCGTCGTCGTGGTCGTCGTTGGCGTCGTCGTCGTCGTCGGCGGCATTGTCGTCGTCGTCGTCACCGTCGTTGGCGTCGGCGTCGTCGTCGTCATTGCTGTCGTCGTCGTCGTCGTCGTCGTCGTCGTCGGCGCTGCCGTCGTCTTCGTCGTCGTCGTCGCCACCGTCGTTGGCGTCGGCGTCGTCGTCGTCGTCGTCGTCGTCGTCGTCGTCGTCGTCGTCATCGTCGTCGTCCTCGTCGTCGTCCTCGTCATCGTCCTCGTCGTCGTGGTCGTCGTTGGCGTCGTCGTCGTCGTCGGCGGCATTGTCGTCGTCGTCGTCACCGTCGTTGGCGTCGGCGTCGTCGTCGTCATTGCTGTCGTCGTCGTCGTCGTCGTCGTCGTCGTCGGCGCTGCCGTCGTCTTCGTCGTCGTCGTCGCCACCGTCGTTGGCGTCGGCGTCGGCGTCGTCGTGCACGCCACCATCAGGCATCGCCCACTGCCGCTACCCGACGGCGGGCGGGTCCTCTTGCCGCGAGGCGCAGCCGCTGTACGTGAACTACCCGTGCGGCCTGGCCCTGGCCCACAATGGCAACCTGACGAACGCGGCCAGCGAGCGCGAGAAGGCTCGCAATCCAGAGACCCCTCGAGTCATTAAAATATCACGACGGGCGGTCTTTCGTTATTTTCGGCCTCTGGGGGGCATGCCTGGACCCCGGGACTGTCAAGAAACGGCTCAGGACGAAGAACAGGTCTTGGGGAATGGGTCGAGACCTCTTGGGGTTAATGTCATGAAAAAATTCTGACGTCGGGGGGCGTTCCAGAAATGGCCTCGCCTTCGAGGATCGAAGGAGTTGGCATCTCTTCCTCGGCGGAAAGCCTGCGGAAGGCGGCGGAAGTAAGACGAGGCTGCCTCCGCCAGCGGAAGCTGGCGGAAGGCTGGCGGAAGGCGGCGGAAGTAAAAGATGCGCCCTCAATACATGGAGACGCTTTTGGGGTCAGGGGTTCTGGAATCCGCCATTTGTCGGTGGCGAGCCCGGGGGGAAGTGAGATGGGGCAGGCCTTCTCAGAAGGCGGGTGGGGTTTCTCTGAGGCCCTCGCGCTTTCTGAGAAGTCTTCTGAGCCTTCTCTGGAGACAGAGGCGGCGTCTCAGGAGGCGCGAGTACTTCTGAGAAGCCCCGCCGCCTTTGATCGGGGAAACGTGACCTCAAGTAAGCCGGAACTCGGGTTTGCCGACTCTTTTTTGACGAGCGCGTCCTGGATTTTAACGGTCCTGTTTTCATGGGTTGTCTGCAGCGGGAGCCCGCGTCAAATTTCAGATTGGGTCTTGTCATTTTCATGATGGCCCCCGTCGGGCCAACCCGAGTCCCCCGTACCCGAGTCTTACGTCTCCCCGATTTGAGAATGTCTGCCCCCTCTGACTTTCCCCCCTGGCTCGCCGCCGAATTCAGAGAAGCAGTCGTGAGCGAAAGGGGCCTGGGAGGTTTTTCGCCGTTTTCGATTGTCCCGCGCCCACCGTCAACGCAAGCCCTGGGATGAACTAGCACGTCCAGGCGAACGCCTTGAGGTCCAAGACCCGCTTCTCTCAGTATTGCGTTTCCTCCTGGCAAAAGGTTGTGCGGAGCTTGAGGCACCTTAATGCAACGTCCGACTCCGAGATCCTCCTCAACATCTTCGCCGAGGAGCTTCAGACCGCCTTCTCGCACGCAGGCAAGGGTGGCAAGGGCGGCGTCAAGGGCGGCAGCGGCGACGCTGGAGCGGGGGAGCCGCCACTGATCCCAGACAAAGACAGGTGAGCGACGCAGGAAAACGGGGCCGTCCGCACGGACATTGGCGCGTAGAAGCTGCCCGCGTAAGATCGCGTGTGAGCGCCCTCGTTTCCCATGTGGCGTGCTGCGCTGCGGCCCGCGTAAGCCACGGCGTAATGTCGCTACGCCATCTTGCGCAAGACCCGTTTCTTGTCGTCGCTCAGGTTTCCAGAGGAGGCCATCTTCGCTGCTGTGCGGGCGACCATGCTGCGCTGCCGTGGTGGCTACGCGGTCGTGCTGCTCATTCACAACGTGGGCGTGCTCTGCTTCCGAGACCCGTGGGGCATCCGGCCGCTCTGCGTGGGCAAGCGGGCCTCCACCACCATGCCCGAAGGTGTCGACTACGTCGCAGGCTCGGAGTCAACAGTGCTGGACTTCGGAGAAGGAAAATGTACGCATACTGCTACCATCCCCTCGCTCTCGCCTTTTTGGGCCTCCTGGGAGGTCCCCGTCGCCACCGCTGGATTCGCCTCGAAATTCTGGTCAGAACGTACCCTGGGAGAGTTCTACCCAGGACTTACTCGGATTCGACCTCTTGGGCGACGTGGCGCCGGGCGAGGCAGTGCTGATGCTGCCGATGGTACCGGAGTGCCCGCGTCCCAACAAGGGCTTGTACCGGAAGTTGTGCCACAGCGCACCAGTCTTGAGCCCTTGCCTGTTCGAGTTTGTCTACTTCGCACGGCCGGACTCCATCATGGATGGCGTGTGCGTGTACGAGGCGTGGGGAGCCAAAACGATGCCGACACCGCCACTCCCTAGACCGCTCCAGAGGTGCGTTCTGACCAGGATATCGAGGCGAATCCAGCCGTGGCGACGAGGGGAGGCCCTAAAAGGCGAACACGAGGGAGGAGTAGCGGTGCCGATATTTGTTCGTCTTCGGAAGGCGCGCCTGCGCATGGGCGAGCGCCTGGCAGAGAAGATCCGCCGGCTGTACGGCGACGACCACGGCATCGACGTGGTGGTCCCGGTGCCGGACACCTCGCGGACGTCGGCGCTGCAGCTCGCAAGCACGCTCAAGTGCTTGTACCGGGACGGCTTCCAGAAGAACCACTACGTCGGCCGCACGTTCATCATGCCGGGACAGGTGAAGAGGTTCGCGGAAGCAAAAGCCGAATAAGGTCGGATCTCAGGGTTTTCCACCGCTTTTTGACGGTCAGGGCGTGGATTTGAATGGTCCAGTTTGCCTGAGGTGCTTGCATCAAGAGCTCGCGCCAAATTTCAAACGAGGTCTGGCCAACCAGAGTCTCCCAAACTCGAGTCTCACGTCTCACCGAAAGAGAGGCGGGGGGGCGATTTGGGACGGCCTTCGTAGAGGAACGGGAGAACTGCACGAGCATAGACTTTCGGAGGTCCGCGCCGTTTTTGGGGGATCTGCGCTGGCCCCCCCCCCGGCGGCGCCTCTGGCGCCGCCCCTGGCGGATTCCGCGCGCCAGGGACGGGGGACGTGACGTGCCGATCCGAACAGTCCGCGCGGACCTCCGAGCGTTGATGCTTATGTAGTTTTCTTCCTCCTGAGGCGCAAGGGCGTGCGGATGAAGCTGAGCGTCGTCAAGGCCGAGTTCGAGGGTCGCCGGGTGCTGCTCGTAGACGACTCCATCGTGCGCGGGACCACGACGCGTGAGCTCATATCGGGTCGGACGAGAGGGAGGGATGGGGAAGGGGCGTGGGTTCCGAATTTCTAGTGGATTCGATGCGCCTCCTCCGCTTCCGCCTCCTCTT